GCTGAAGAAAGGCTCCAGCCTTCACCGTGGTGAACCTGGTGCTCCCTTTATGTGGGTGCTTAATCCAAGCACTGCAATTGCACTTGCAGTCTAAAATACCGCTGTCTGTAGCACTACCCAGTGCTCTCTTTAAACTGCTCTGGGTTTTCTTAGTTGTATTACATATATGTTTGTAACATCTTTGTGGACATGAATGATAAATAAGCATTTTTGAAAATAGAAGAAATTAATCTGAATGGACCTTTCTGTCCTCTGAGTCCTCTTCTTCCCCTGCCCCCAGAGCAAGCAAAAAAGCCAAGAAGAAGCCCTGGCTTAGTCTGTTTGGGTGACCCAGTGTCTGACATTTGTTGCCTGAGCTTGCAGAGCCAATGCATTTTGCCACCCATACTAGCTCACAGCTGAGAGGATCCTGCTGCAGCTTCCAGACCAAAGACTTGTGCAGCGGCCGTGATGCGTGTTATTTAACTGGTTTACGTTTCATTGCTCCTAGCATGCATTTCCCATACTTTATATAAAGGAAAAAATATTTCACTGTGAATGGCTTGATATGTCTTTAGCTCAGCAATGAGTAGCAGCTGTGGGAACATTCTCCCCGCTGGTGAGCACGGAGGAGACTGTGTGCGTCCATGGGCACTGGGGGAAGAAGTTTGACGAATCCTTAAATGTGCCTTAGTGTTCAACCAAAATTCACATAATACTAATAATTCACTATTTTTTTATCAAAGAAGCTGTCACGGTATATGGGAGTGCAAACGTCTTAACATAAGAAGTGCTCTCATAAAACTGTTGCTATGAAATACAAACTGCAAGTCCCGCACGGGACCAAGTGTGAAGCTGGATTTTTATGAGAGATCACTGGAATTACCATGAACTTTCAGTGACACTTGCAATGTTGGTTACCACTGCATTAAGCTATTTGCTCATGGTTATTCATTGTGTACTTCAATGCGTGCTTTCTGGTCGCAAAAATAATTGGCAAGGATGTTTTGTGTTTGTTTTTCTTCATGGGAGGAGAAAGGAAGAATTCGTAACGTTCTTGATCGGAGGTCGAGATAGATCACGTTCATTTTAATGGCACACGCAGCTTGTGCTGGTTTTCATCAGCTTTGTCTTTTTTATGTTTTGAGGCACAGTCTTTAGATTTAAAAAGTGACATAACTACAAATTACATGCACCTGCTTAGAAACAAGATTCATTCAAAGTTGAGGGGGAAAATCCTCTGTAAATCTCACGGTGGAGTGAATTCAGTCACTCAAGAAGCAGAATTTATCTTGGCCACGGTAGTGTGAATACCAGCTAAACCCCAGAAACATGAAAGATAAGGCTTCGGGTTTTCAGCAGTGTAGCTAAGATGTTGTCTATTCCAGAATGTCAAATGATCAACGCTCTACAAAAAGTTTCTGAACTGTTTAAACTACTGACTTCATCTGCTGGTAAAAGAAAAAGTAGTAGCTGGGCCTTTGAGAGGTGAGATCTTTGCTGTAGGATGAAGTTACGTTCTTGCTTGATTTCAACAGGAAGATGTTACGGAGTCATTTGGATGATAAAGCATTGGGTTTAGGGTAGGCTGAGGTGGAACTCTGTAGGATCTCTGAATGAAAGCCAGATGATCAATCTGGGTATGGTAAAAAGCAGCGAGCTAGCAAGGAGCCTCAGAAAGAGCATTGCCAGGGGAGAGATGTGAAGACAGTTTTCGTGCTTTTGTAGAACCAGTATTTAGTTATGGTGTAATAATATTGTGTATTTGCACATCATCTTGCTGAAAGCATGTGCTTCTCTATTCACCGTTTTCCCTTTGGGTATTTAGACACTTCATCTTAGAGAAATGCGTGCTGCTGACTTTTGGGGAGTTTCTTGCTGTTCAGATGCTCCAGTATTTTCCCACTGAGTACTGCGTGACGGGAAGCGGTATGGCCATTAGCACACAGGAAGGGCTCCGAGCAGCCCCGGCAGGGCAGCGTGCCCCAGCAGAGTGTCCTGTCCTCTCCATGCACGGCACTGTCCAAGCGGAGATGAGGGAGCCAAGCCCCTAAGAGTTACTGCAAATACTTGTCTGAGTCACGCAGTCCTTACACCCTGCAACAGGCCATGGGTTAGATGCAAACATGCTTAATTTTTCCTTTAAAAAGTAAATATTTACAATTGTTATTGTGAAACGCCAACCCGGTTAAAGTAAAAAAGAAGCAAGCAAGCAGCGTGTTGCTCACAGTGCGCTGCTGGTCCCTGGCACGGCGCCCGCGGCAGCCGCAGCTCGGGTTGCAGCCTCTACACCTGACGTGGAGCCCAGGGCCGGGGACTCCAGCCTGGCGTGGGAACGGCTCTGCAGAGCCACCGGCCCCGGCCTTACGCTGCTTAATTAAAATACCTCGTCTACGGGCTGTTTGTTATGGCAGCGCCAACCTGCGGGTTGCGCTTTTTTGCCTTTCCTCTTTTTTATTTCTGCTGCCTCTGATGTGTCGCACAGCATCGGTGAGGCACCGCGTGGGTTGCTGCTCTTAGACACTGACAACTGAGGAAATTAAATTCTGAGGTGGAATTGGTTAAAAGCCTGGCTAAAGCAGTGTTGTTTTTCTATGGCAGCTGAAACAACATCAGTATTGCAAGGATAGATTTTTATTGCTGATGATTTTTTTTCGAGACAGTAAGTTTTTTACATTTTGTTTCTACCAGGACCCTCTTAAGTACATTTTGCGATTTTTAATTATTTAAGAGTACGAAGAATTGAGTTCAGTAGGATGCTGTTAGATAAAAGCAGTGCTAGATGCTGCAGTTCCAGCTTTGTATAAAGTAATGTGCCTTCAAGGTACTTGGCACTATTAGTATTACTCTTTTGTGCATGAAGAAATACATCTATTTCTATGGTTATTCATACTTGAAAAAGCTTATCATGAAACCCCTAGTGACAAGTCATGGTTTAAAGTCTTGAGCATTTGTTTACGTACTATTTAAAAAACTCTTTTGGCTCTTTCAGTGGGCCTACCTACAAGTGAAGTACAGGCAAAAGCTGTTACAGAATTGGGTCTTACTGTACAAAGTTACTAGAAAAATTAAAAGCATGCCCTGAAACTATGGGAAACCCTGTGGAAATACATAATTTCAGTGGTTGCTTCCTCTCCCCACTGGTGTGTGTGTGTCTTTTCCTTTATATACCACGTTGTGTATTAAGTTTTATAGAGCACTGATTGTTACTTTATAAAAGCATGCTACTTGTTATCACTAGAAGTAGCAATATGCTTAGTAGATGTTGTACAGTCTCAAATGATGCTTCCTTTGGGAGGACAAAATCCTGTTTGGGAGGAAATCACCCCCTCTTAAAGGGGCTTACGAGGGAGGCGATTATAACAGCAGAAATTATTGGTATCAGTGTTGTGTATTTTCTCATCCTAGGAGTGCATAGGTGTATTTACAATAGGGGTTTCTGTTGCATTTGCCTAAAAAAACCCCACTGAGCTAAAAAGTTTGAAAGGAACAGCTTGAGGAATTTTTTCCATCAAGATACAACCAAGGGCAGGAAGTCGTGGCAGCAGAGTTGTGGTTTTGCCTCCATTTTTTTATTAGTTAATTAAACTATAACAACTCCTTAACTTCATGCTAGGTGGCTGTTGCTGGCGTTCAGCGGTGCTTCCAGAGGTCGGTGCCGCTTTGGCTGGGGTGGGATGCGGGCTCACCGTCAGCAGGGCAGCGCTTCCAGGCGTGCTCAGCGCGGGGGCGCCTGCGCTCATGCCGGCGGCGGGAACGCACCCACCCAGCTCCTCAGCTGCGCGCCAGAGGACCCAGAGGGTCCACATTTGAGAGGATAGGTGTGTATTTAGTACCCCAGAATAAAAAAAACCACCCCAGAAACCCCACTGTGCGCTGCAGCATGGGTTTTCTCTGTGAAGTCGGGGTGCTTCTTTTTTAAAGTGCGGCGAGGCGTCTGTCCCCGTTTTCTTCTCGGCGCGCAGAGCTGCTTAGAGGCGAGGGCATGCGAGGGAAGCAAATAGAGCCGTGCAAGTGGCACATAACTGGCTTTAATAACGGGAGCTATTCCAGCACCCGGAGCCAAGTCGTCTTTCAGCAGAAGGGATGAAATTGAGCAGAGCTGGGAAAGGGAAAGAAGAAAGGGGAGGGGAAACGCAGCACCACCTCCCGCTGGCACCGCAGAAGTTTCCCTCAGCTTTCCCTCTCTCCCTCTGTGCTTATATTTTCTTTTTAATCAGCTGGGGCTCTTCCCTCCACTGCTTTCATTTTATTTTTTTACTGTATTTTTACAGTAGGAATCCTGCTTTCCTAATTTCTCTTGTTTCACATTTAACTTCTTCAGAGAATTTCATTAATAGTTGTTGCAATTAAAAATAATAAACAAACTCAGCAGCAGCTGCTCAGATGGCTGTCGCGGCGTATCTGGAACAGAATGCGGTCTGTTCGGGGCAGCCACACAATGCAAGTTATCCCCACACCTGAGGGAATGAATTTCACAACTATAATTGCTACAATATAATTCTTATTAATGTTGTGCTATAATTCCTATTAATTCCAAAGGGCTAGTAAATGCATTAGGACTTGTCAACATATTATTTTACACTGTTTATGATCTGTAGAATTACGCTCTTCAGTATTGTATTGCATAAAGAGAAGCCTTAAAATTAGCTTTAATTGCAGAGGAGGAAGAAAACCACATTTTCCGTTCAGGCACTGGGAAAGACGGAAGGATCCTGGTGTTTGACGAGTAATGAAAATGCATTTTAAAATCAGTCCTTGGAACTTTCTGTGCCACACAGTTTATGAAGGTATATTAATAATGCCTGTCTGGGTTATTAGAAAAAGAACCACTGGTGTCTTTATGAAGGAAGAAATAACTGCAAGAAAGATAGATTTATAAAATTAAAAACAACTGTCTTCCAGCAAAGACAAAAGTGGGGAAATTGCAAGTCATTATAGCAGATACAATAAATGCACAATGTGTTATCTCGCCGTGCTCTGATTTATGCCTGTTTTATCTCACCACCACGCTTTTCTAGGTAGTGAATACGATGAGGAGGAAGTAGACTATGAAGAATCAGACAGTGATGAGTCCTGGACTACAGAAAGTGCTATCAGCTCTGAAGCTATCCTTAGTTCAATGTGCATGAATGGAGGAGATGAGAAACCTTTTGCCTGTCCTGTTCCTGGATGTAAAAAAAGATATAAGGTAAGCAGTAGTGCAGAGCTTCCTTATTTCCTGCTGGTATAGTGAGGGGCAGGGGGAGGAGCCTCTAAGCTCAATTTGTACCTTTCTCGTTTAATAGACTTTTCACCTTTATTTTTGTGGTATTTTAGCAGAGTACACATTTTATTCACTCGTTTCCTCTTAAGCGCAGCCAAGTTACCAGTTTTGCAAAGGGTGCAGCCTTTTGCATCCCTGTCTGTCAGGAGAGATTACATACAGTGCTTTTGCTTTACACATTATAAATGGCTTTCTACTGTTTAGACAAATTAACTGCAGAAGGCAGGAGGTACCACCAGCAAAATAATCTCCAGGGTCCCTTTCAGAGACACTGAATAAATGAAGCTTCTGTACATCAGTGCCAGAATGAATTTTCCTCCTCTGTAACCGCTGGAGATCCTGCCTCTCCTTTAGTGACACTGCCCAGGGTGCTTCTCTGGGTCAGGGGCAGATAAAGTTGTATTGACCAGCCTGGAGTTCAGTGCTGTTTTCTGCAGTCAGTGACATTTGGGAACAGAAGCAGCGTGTTGGCACAGCGCCTCTGAGTCGTTTTCTGACATTTTTGCATGAAGCACTGGAAAATGCAGCCACTGACCTATACCCTAGAAAAAGCACTGGTGGTTGGGTTGGTTTTATGCTAGTTTTATTTTATGGCTTCTCCTTTAAATAACTGAAAAGTAGGGACTTAAAAGAGAACAGAAATATGAAAGAGAAATATAGGAAGACTAATAACATTTGAGATAAAACAGTTGTGACAAGAATGAATAAACTGTGCATGAAGCCATGCAGTGGACAAGAACGTGTGTCAGCGCTGCTGCAGCTGTTCTCCACTGCGGCAGCTCCTGTAGCAGCAAATCATGAGAGTCAGATTCGTGTGCAGATCTGTTCGTACTTACAGTGCTTACTTAGATCACGAGCAAGAAAGCAGCGTGCTCATGTCTTAGTGACATACAAGTCTTTTTGCAGAGATTAGTCTGAGCTGTGGTTGTTCTCCTCTTCAGAACACCATCTCCAGGGGCAGGGCAGAGGGAAAGATGTTTTCAGCTATTTGCAAGTGTTACTTTGCAGATATACCCATGTTGTTCCAGATTATACTTCTCCTGTGTGTGGTGGAAGCGGTGCCAGATCAAGGGTATGGTATAAAAGCTAAATCCCCAGCTCAGGAAGCAAACAAGCCATGGAGGTTGTTAGAAGTCCCTGTGCCCACAGGGCATCTATGCATTGCAGAAAATATCCCCTTAATGGCAAAGGCTTGAAGGAGAAGCCTGTAATTTGCTATATCCTGTCTGCTCTGTGTTTGACTGCCAGCCCTGCGTCTTTTTATTGCCCAAATAAGCAAGCTGTTTCTGCTGGCTTCTGCTATCTCCCCACCTTAATCTCAAACGCACGAGCACTGTCTGAGGGGTATCTTGTGCACCGCTGCTGTTGGGACAGGCAGACAGGGACCAAATTAATGACCCTTGGAGGGGCTGACAGGCAGAGCGCAAATAAAAAGTACTGTATTTTCCTAAGAAACTCATCTCTGTTTAGTCCTGATAGGAATATGCATTTCCTTAAACTCTGTCTCACCTCATTTCTCTTTTCTGTGGGCTCTGTTTCCTCCCTTTTTTCTTTTCGGCCTAACTTTTTTCTTCTTCCATGTTTATCTTTGTTTCCTTCCTTTTAGCTTTGTGTCAGCCGTGTTTCTTATTTCCTCTCCGTCCTCCTTCTGCCTGACCCCCTCCTCTGATGAATTATTTGCGGAGTCTGGGTAGGGAGTCCTGTGATCAAAGCCCTGGGATCTTCTGGTGGGTACAGAATAATCACAGCCAGGGCTGTAAAACCATTATAGAGCTCCAAACAGGAACAGGGACACGCACATACAGTAATTGCCAGGCTCACTTTACGGCTGAGAAAGGACGCATTCCTTTAGGGAGCAGGGAGGAAAGGAGGATATACACAGTTTTCTTTTGTCTGGCCTTAGGTGACGTACATTTGAGAGGCAGAAAGGTTATTTTTAGACGCGTTATTTGTATTACAGCACCGCTTCAAGGACCCAGTAGGGATGGGGCTCCTTTTTGCAAACAATGTGCAAGGATAAAAGATGGCCTCTGTACCGAAAAGCCATTACGGAAAGGTAAATAAGACAAGAATGAGAACAACAAACACTCCCAAGGAGCGGGCAGGGGCAGACAATGGAAACTGCTGGGGACATGTTTGGGCACCAGCCCAGATGGGTATCAGGGGACCCCCCTGGCCCCTGCCCAGCTACTGTCTCTGGGCTGGTTCCCATAGGCCGTGCAGTACAAGCGAGTCAGAAACACTTGGTTGTTCTTCAGGAACTTTCTCTCTTTCTAATACATAAAATTGCTGGCTTGTAATATGTATGGGTGTTCTACATGGCACAGATCTTCTTGAGGAGCTGAGGATTCTGAGGAAAAAACCCCACCTTTTAAAATGAGATGTAAATTTGTTTGTGGGATAGTCAGAAACAGCAAAATTAATCTGGAGCACACTGACTTAGATGCTGAAAAGCCTCCAGATGCCTCACAAGCCTCTCAACTACTGAAGCTTGCTTGCTGCTTCTCCAACTATGGTTACTGACCTAGAGTACAAATTATACGGATTTTATAGTTTGCCATTTTTAGGTATTTTTTCTTCATTTGATTTGTATTTAATGCCTTAAATTTGATTTTTAGTAAATCATCTGCATGATTCAAAGGAACCTGCAGATCTTATCCTTGTTTCTGTGGCAGTCACACTCACCAGATTTTGGATCTGTATCCACATTTAGATGCCCTGTCCAGAAGTGTGTGGGTATTGAGTGCTTTGCAAAAATGCCACCTGTAGCAGCTGTGTGTGTGTGTGTATGTGTGGATATATGGAAGTGGCAGCTCAATGCCACCAGTCTGTGCCCTGTGTTTGGTCTCTGGCTGTGGAGCAGGCCATTCAAAATGTGTGTGTGATGTTGATAAACTTATTCAGGCAACTTCGGAAGGGCAAATGAAGTTTGATACAAAATAGAGATACAAAAAAAACCCCACAAATAATGCACGTATACTGTTATGGAGAAAACAGGAACAGTCGGGAGATACAAAACCATGTATGGATGTCCAGGCCTGAAACAAGAAATCCCAAACCATCCTTGGTGTCTCTCCTGCTTGAAGGGGTGGCAGCGTCATGGCCTCACGAGTGCGAGGGGCCTGCCCAGGAAGTGCCCGCGGCTCTGTGCAAACCAGGTGGTGCCCGTCTGAACTCGTGTATCTCCTCCCGATCTGGGCCCAGGTTAATAATTGCTTCCTCCTGTTAAAGATTTGAGTAGTCCCCTTCTGCACTGCCATCTTCTTCCTCAGCCATTTGTGAGAGTAAATAATGAGCAACTTAAGTAACCGGAGCAATAAAAGTGATGGATGAGTTTGGCAGCGGGGTTTGCTGTACCTCAACAAACTCGGCCTGGGCGTACAACAAAGTGTTTACATTACAGCAGTGGAAAAAGCGCTGAGGAGTCACAGTAATTCTAACAACGGCTTTCTTGTAGACAGCAATAGGGGTCAAGTTTCTGGTTAGAGTAGCTCCTCGTCCTCTGCGAGGCTTACAGCCCTTCCGTGGCCCAACTCATTCCACGTGGGTTTCGGGTTTAGCTTTGCCTTACGTTTTTCTGCCTGAAAGTACCTTTCCCCCTTCACCAAAGCGTGTGGTGTGCTTGAGGCTGAGGGGATTGTTAAAAAATCCCAGTCAGGAGAAGAATACCACTGGTATGGGATAGTGAGGATATTTATGATTGCTGATTTATGGCATCTCTAGCAATTGATTCTAGTCTTAAAGTATCTTAAAGCGATTTCTTACAAAAATTGAAAGTCTAAACAGGTTTCTGTAGTTTCCAAAATATACACAGGGTTTGGAGATAGCTTGGTTTTAAAAATCTCACTGTAGTAGCAAAAGTTTATCAGGTTTCCCCCACATTTTCTCTTCTTTGAAGGCACAGGTCCTAACAGTACTTAGGTGTTGAGAGATGTCTTGTGACAGTCCCCATGCCATCAGCGACATCCCCAGCCCCTCAACCCAGCGATCCTGGGGGTGCTGGAGGTTGTATCAGTGCAAAACCATCTAAAAGCTGCCTCGGGATCTTGGATAACTTGCAGGGAATTTGCTTGACTGCTCTTGGGGATGATTTGTAACTTTGATGGTCCCTTGTCTGTCTTGGTGGTACCTCCTGCTGCCTGCTCTGAATGCTCTTCACCCAGAAGGGGCCTGCACTGAAGTCCCATGTTTGTATGTCGGGAGACTGAAGGTTCTCGTCTGTGCAGGAGGTGTCCAGTATTTTTAAGGATGTAAAGGACAATTTGGGGCTGGACTTGCAACTTCAAGTGAGGATTCAGTGCCTGGATGCTCTCGAGAAGAGAAGCATGAGTCTGTGGCAGTTGCTTGGAGTCTGATGCCGTACCCTTTTTCCAGGGTGGATATTTTAGGCTAAGTTTTTCTTTCCAAAGAATTTCCACAAATCAACTCCTCCAGACACCCAGGCTGCCCTAAAATGCCATTCAGTGGTGCAGACTCACTGGGTTTTGTGAGTCCTGACGGGAACAGAGCCATGCTCAGCTTTGTGATGGAAATCGGAGAACTGGTTTTGCGTTGGCACAGTTAACATATGTCTATAGATACAGGTATCTGTAGACACAGTCTTCTGAAGTTTCAGGAGTTGTAGCTCTGTTCTGATTCCTGAAGGTTATTTTTTTGGTTTTAAACAAGTTGCCCAGCTTGTTGAACTGCTGTGAGTGCCACGCTGGAGCTTCCCCTTGCTGTAAGCTGTGCCTTAAACTTGACCTTGCTGCTTAACAAGAGCCAAGGGGATTTTTGTTGTGTGTAACACCAGGCAGTGGCTCAGCAAAGACAAAAACCCTGAAACTTTTAAGTTAGTGGGTTAATTAATACCAGTGCTGTTCATTGATTTGGGGTTTTTTTGAACTGTTAAAAAAACTGCGTTACCTATCTGGAAACTTTGGAGAGGACCCAGTAGAGCCTCAGAGCTGGATCTTGTCACAGATTGTCCTGGTATCTTCTCTTCTTCCTCAGAAAAGCTCTAATTTTCTTTTTTATCCAAAAGATGTAAGCTTCTTTTTTTATCCTTTTCTTACTTATCCAAAAATCCGAGCTCTTTTAGTGGAAGCAGATAAGAGAGACTCCAGTGAGACAACTCCTCCGTGAAGCAGTATCACATTGTAGGGAGACCCGAACAGCTTCTTCCACGTTTGCCAGAAAGCTGTGAAAAGGAGGACGGGGAATGATTTTGGTTTAGGTTTAGTAAGGTTCTTGACTGATCTAGAAAAAAACGTTGCCTGCCTGTGGCAGTGTAAGGTTAAGTCGTGGTACTGGGTCCTTGCTCCCCAACACAGTGGAGATCAGCTCCTGAGTTTTAGCTGAAGCCCAGTCCCAAACAACAGCAGCTGTTCTGAAGACGGCTTCTCTGGGTTATTTTCTAAGTGCATGCCCTGTGTAACTTTGGGAAGTCGAATGTTCCCCGCAGTGAATTCTTTGGAGACAATGTGCAAACTATCATGCTTTGCTGCGCCTAAAGACATCTCTCGAAACAATGCCACAGACAGGAACACACACACACACACACACACACACACACCCCATGGCCAGGGCTTCAGCGGGTTGAAGAAGTGCGACTGGAGCCTCCATGCCAGTTCTTTGTTTGCTTCTAAATGATCCTTGAATGAAATTTGTCACTGCTATACGAAAATAATGGAAGGACGCAAAGAGCATCCGTGTGTGCACCCATTAAATGGCATTTTTTGGAAAGTGCCGCATGTTAGAAGATAAAAATCAGGATTACACAGGTAGGCAAGATTCACGTTAGGCCTGCACAGATTATTCTCCTTCTCATCCCACCTCGTATCTTGAAAGTGCAACACCATGGGAGAGTTAGTAGCGATTAAGTGTGATTTTGCCTGTAAGTTAACCAGTTTCTGTTTTTTTCCAGAGGAAGCCGGGCGGTTGTGAGCCCCCTCGCCCACTAACATTGTGCTCTCTCGCTCGCAGAATGTGAACGGTATCAAGTACCACGCCAAGAACGGCCACAGGACGCAAATCCGCGTACGCAAACCCTTCAAGTGTCGCTGCGGGAAGAGTTACAAGACAGCTCAGGGCCTGCGGCACCACACAATCAATTTCCACCCCCCCGTGTCTGCTGAGATTATCAGGAAGATGCAGCAATAACGTGCTGGTCACAACGTGCCAAGAAACCCTCACCAGCAGTTGCTGATTTTGAGAACAGCCACCTTTTTCAGGGGAAGCATTCAGCAACCCTTTAAAAAACGAAATTAAATGCATGCTTTAAAATTTTCTGTAATTTTGGAATGATGTATCTTTGTAGAGTTAATGATTTTGTACATTTGCACATGTAATCATCATACCCATTTTCATTACTTTGAGATAAGGTGCTATAAAAGCTATGGGTTCTTCGGAACATTTTTCTCCAAAACAAACAAAAGAGGTGATTTGGGGGGGGCGTTGTTGCGTATCGAGTTGTTCTGCCGTGTTGAACAGGAGCGAGAGGAGGAGAGCTTGGCACTGACAGCCCTTCAAGATTGTAACGTGACGAAGATCTCAACGCATCCGTCTGAGCGCATGCAAAACCAAACGGCTCCCGGCCTCGCCAGACTCTGTTAACAACTTGCCTTACGGGACCGAGCGAGCAGTGGAGTAGCGAGTCTTTTAGGTAATGGAAATATAAATAAGAAAGAATGTTTAACATAATATGCTAAAACTATTTTCATACTTAAATAACATACATACAAAGGTGTGCTTGCTGTATTTTATATTATCTTGCAAATCTTTCCCCCCCCCCCAATCCCCCTTTTGAGATGCTGAAAATCTTGCCCTTCGACCGAAGCCAACAATCACTTTAGTGTTAGGAATTCCTACTTTTCTTTGTTCAAGACATCATGTTACGTTCACGCCCATCAAACGTTGTTTGAGGACCAATATCCCAGTCCAACTGAGTATCTACCCCAGACTATCTCTTAGAAAGACACTTGGAAATACTTAAGTGCAAATTTATGTGTGTGTGTGAGAAACAATTCTCTTCATCTCAGATGAAGTTTTAAAGCACTTTGTAGTTCTCTATTGCCAACAGATTTAATGTTTTATGTGTTGCCAATTCTTGCAGCTACCGTACGAGCATGTGCCTGTGGTTGCAAATAAAAATCTAAAGTTCTGCCCATGGTTTAAGGAGGTCCACTATTTGTGCTAAGGGAGCTGCTGCTGCCTCTCCCTCATCTTCATCGTATCTTGAGATTTTTCTTCGTGCTTTGTTTTGATTTTATTTTTGCTTCTCATTGGCGGTCACCGCATCCCATGTGCAAGTGTCTGTTTAGCTTTACCATTAATTTTGCTGAACATTTGAGCCTTATTGATGATGAAAAGTGCTTCTTGCAGCAGGTGGTCAGAGACCGACTTAAAGCAAAAGCCACCGTGAGGGCGCTTCGTGTCTGGCCCATACCTGAGCGTGGTTGCCACCATCCTGCCTTCAGCCTTCTGCTCTCACAAGTGCTATTCATGGACTGCAGCTGCCCAGCCCCAAACCGTTCTTAGCTGTGCTTTACACAGTGCACGCATTTGCTTTGTTCTTTTAAGTGCAAAAGAAAGCTCAAATGAAGGAGGAATGAGCTTTCCCTCTTTTTTTTCCCCCCAAAGCTTTAAAGGAAAATATTGTAAGGATGACAATTACCCATTTTCCAGCAGAGTAAAACACTTAGGCCTCATCCTAGTGAATGAGATGTAGAACATCCACACTGAAGTAAACATCATTTTCTCAACTCCTGGAGGTCTGTGTGACAGTGCCTGCACCGCACCGTGCTGTCAGCCGGGGGTAAAGGATGCTCCAGACGTGAGAGTTACGGTACTCACAGGGCCCAGTGGCCGCTTCCCACCTCCTGCAGGTTTGGGCACAGATTTGGCCACCAAAGAGGTTCTGGCTCTGCTCCTCGTGCAAGAAACCACAGGCTGGGCAAGGTCGTTCAACAGCTAAACAGTCGTAAAGCGTCATTGTTGCATGTAAATTCCTTTCGCCTATAAAAATGAAATTCCAGTTTCTATTTACCTATTCATTGTGACAGTATTATTAAACAGGTAAAGATGGGACTATTTTGTTATACTGTGTATAGTGAATGTATTGTACTGTGTCTGTGAAAAGTGTGCTTTAAATTATATTTTCATATGTTTTGTTGGAGACAAAGTACTTTAAGTTTGAGAGTGACAGAGGTTTGTTTTAGAACTGAAGGCAACTTAAAGAATTCCGGTCAAGAAAGCTGCTTATAAATGTAAATCAAATCACATTTAAAATAAACTGCCTCTGACCTAAAATGACTGCTCTTTACTTGTTACTTACCCAAACAGTGACATTCTTGGGCTGTATATAGTCTTGTATTTGTATATTTTACTTTGGTATCATCAAACACTGTATTCAGTAAACACCTGAAGCAACTTAAGCACCACACCATTAATGCACAAAATTACACAGAATACTACAGCCTGGAGAACAAAAAATGGGAGTATTTTGATTTAATCGGTCAAAAGGATGCAGATTTCACAGGCTTTTCCCTTCCAGCATCGCACTGGGGCTGAGGTTACCAGGTAAAGTTGGGTTTGATGCTCCAGAAGCCTCCTTTGCATGGCAGGTATGGGTTAAATGAAGTGGCTATCCCCATGAAAGAAGAGAGCATTACAGTTTTAATTCAGGTAGGTTTTGGGAGAGGTATTTGGCTTCTGCTGTGGACCTGCAAACTCAAGCAATGAGTCACTTGAGGCAGCCAAGTAACAGGGAAACTTAAAGTCACGTATTGAAGAGAAGTCTCTGCTTTGGCTCATTCAGGTTTTGAGGTTGTCCCGGCAGTGCAGGGCACCAACCTCTGGGATTTCCTAAGTCTTTAATAATATCATCATTAACGCTATTTTGGTTTTATAGCCTGTTGTTTTCATAGGCTGCTGAGTTATGGTAAGGAAAAAGAAAATTTAAAAAAATACACTCTTTTAGGACCTTCGTGCCTTACCTCAAGCCATCTCTTGATGTGAAGTTCACAGTTAAAAATCGTAACTTAAGACTTAAAGTGAAACAGAGGACACTGCAGTTTACCAGTGTTGCGCGGCTTTTACCAAATCCTGCACTGAACAGGATATTGCCCACGTTCATGAGAGAACTGCAGACGGGTCTCTAAAACAAAGAGCATAAAAATAGATGAGAGCAACAGCTTCTGTCATACAAAGCTGAAACACCATTTACTGTCAGGAGGTAAAGCCTGAACTCTGGTTTATTTCAAAATGAGCAGCAGAAAAAAGGACCACTGACTCCAGGAATAATTTTGCTTTTAATGTAACAAGACTACTGTACAACAAGTGGAGAGCAAATTTACTTCTTAATACAGTTAAAGTAAATATAAAATGTTTAGATATACACACATGGTTTAACTTACTGGAAAGAAATACATAAAGTTAAAACGCAGAAGGTTTTAAAAGCCCTAAGCCAAAAGGAACACAATTCACTGTTGTGAAAATGTAACAATATTTTCTACTGAGTGCAACTGCAACATAATGATTTTTTTTAAACAATTACTCTTAGGCATTTAAGCACAGCAGTTTCTTTCAACTCAGAAATACCGCCCCAAGGTACAACTTCCTTAATTTAACATTAACCCTTAAGGCAATCGTTCTCGATGTAAAACTGAAGTATTTGCCATTACTCTCGTTGCAAGCCTGTAGTCTCAGTACATGCATCTACATCTCAGAAGTGTACTAGAAAACTATCTTTTCATAGGGTAAGTAATGTAACTTTGTGATTTAACTGTTACTCAAAGAAAAACTACACAAATTTGCTAGGAGAAACATCTGTCTGTTACCTTTGTCATCATGCCCTGGTTAGCATGGTTAGGAGAAACCACGGATGTTGTGGTGCCTTTTTCATGTAGCTGAAGAGCATCATGAAGCATGAAGCTGGTCTCATTTCTAAGTCACGCCCGTGTCCTTACAGATCCCACTGAGAAGGGGAATAAATAGCTACGCACACAGCAAGGCGGGGTTTGGTGGGGTTTTTAGTATAACGTTAGGTAGAGAAAAGACAACCCAGCAGCAGCTTGCAGCCACAATCTGCCGTGGCTCCCATTAAGAGTATGCGAGCTTTCAGTCAGAAGTTTGCACTGCTACAGAAAACCTGCACTGTTTTTGTGGTAGACTACTCAGAATTGGTGGTTGGTTTTTTTTAAGCTAGGCTGCAAAACAAAGTAGTTAATCAAAATTTAATACGTTCTGATCAAAGTGCGTCTGAACGTGCCTCTCGAAGCCTTGCTGGTCGTAGTCGGGCGGGAACTGCTCGCTGCACATGGGGCAGACCTTCCAGTGGCTCTCCACGTGCTCCTCAAACTTGCTCTGGTCGTAGTTGGGCGGAAACATCACATCGCAGAGAGGACATTTCTTGCGCACATCAAAGCTTCGTGAGGAGGTGAAGAGAAAGAAACAAAAGGAAACGGTTATTCCATCCGTTAGTGCAAAATTAAATGTAAAAGTAGGATCATGTTGACACCGACATTAGGAGCTTTACTACAAACTTAACTTCGAGCAGACTTGGTATCCAGGCAAGTAGCACACAGTGAACTTAAGTGTCTCTGCTGAAAGTGCTCAATAGAGTTAAAGCAGTTTTACAGAGGAATCCCAGAATAACCTGGCATTTTAAAAGCAACGCAGTCTTGACAAAATTCCAGCTACCACTGAATACAAATCTATTGAATGTCTTAATGACCACGCAGTTTCATGGGAAACCACTTTCTGTGCTCATAAATGCTTGCTCTTAGCAAACATAACACTTTATAAAAGCTCTAAACTTAGGTTCACAATTAGGTTGGAAAGAAAGTGGAAAAACCAAAATTTACTCATTCAGTTACTAAAAAAAATTGTCCTAGTTCCATCCAAGTAAGGTACAGCACAAATGGTCTACCCAGTCTCACAGCATATTCTCCGGTAGTTAACTGTAAACCAAACATTCATTGAAAACAGTTAATAGTTTTTCATCTCCACCCCTGCCTTGAGTAAAAGAGTCCAGTTATACAGAACGCATCCATGCCATTAAAGAACAATAAAAGATAACATTTACCTGGAATCAAAGCAGAAACCTGTTCCACGTTCATGCAAGAGAAGACTTGGAGGATCAGGAGCAGAAGGTACAGCATTGTCATCATCCTATTAAAAAAAGCAAGTATTTTAAGTAATTCCTACTAGAAACAGCTCTTCTTTTACCCTCCTCCATATGCATTTTTGTTATCGAGCATAAACACAGATGAAATTTACCTTTCATTTGAAATCTCTGCAGCGTAAGTCGTACAGAAGGGAGACACAGCTAACAAACATGAGAAGCCAAACACAGACGGCCTCTGGACCATGCCCCTAGAGCAGAGACCTGCGCCAGCGCCGCGCCAACGCTTGTGCTGACACGGGAGCGCAGGAAGCACCAGTCACCTCCCTGCAGGGCCTGGGGGCTACATCAGAACACACAAACCTGTGTCAAACCAAAGGCAGACTCACGCTGCCATCAGGCCCTGCGTGGCTGCCTCCTCTCC